TGTATACACATCATAGGTCATCTTTCTTACATGTAATTGCTCACGCCGGTCTCCGTGAAATCAGGACAACACGCCAGCTTGTTGTCTTTAAAATAGAATATCTTTGTCTTAGCTGCAGACTGATCTTTTTTGGTACATTTTTTTTTGCACAAAACAGCTTTCAAAATTTAAGTAAGTGTGTTACGAAACTTTTGTTAGGTCAATTACACAACACGAATCATGCGGGAATTTAAATAATGCATAATTCGATCTCTTTTTTTTTCGTTTTATTAAGGATTCTACCTACAGGTACTAGTTTTTAACCCAATTTTTATGCAAAAATTAATAACATTATGTATCGCTCTCTATTTCAATTTGTATCTAGATCATTAGATCACAGTATAATATAAAAAACATGTACAATACTAACTTTTTGCTTCACAAAAATGCTGTTACTCAGCCCCATGTTTCATTGTTTTTATCGTATCGCATCGCATAAAAATACGCCTATTTCAATGACGATTTTGCTCTTCGTGTAGGTATTCTTTGATTTAATAAGATCTGTTAATAACATTGTGCATTTCATTCGCCTTCTGACGCAAAGAACATTTTTGCCGTTGCCATATGATAAAAATATTACTTCAAATGGTTATCCTATTTAGGCCTACGGAAAAAGCGTCGGAAGCATTCAAAAGCCGTCTGAAAGGATTGTGGCACTCCATGAAATATGGCTGGACAGCTATTACTCCGGGCACCCAAATCGAGATCAACGACCTTAATGGAGCCGATCCTCTTTATCTGCTAGGGCGAATGTACCACGTCAAAAATGATCAAGATGCTCACAAGAGCTTTCTCAGTGATTTTAGGACACGTATCTGGTTTACTTATCGACAGGTAACGACAATTGTTTAGATACATTTTCTCATTTGTTACCATGCAAAGGGCAACGCCACTGCTAGAACACGTTCGTTTCGGAAACAGGGAGTAACGAATTAGCTACGTAGGTTCAATTTGCTTTTGGTTTCTAATGAAACCTTTGAAGAGAAACGAATGTGGCCTTAGCAGTACTGGGATCTCTACATTAACAGGTCGGTTGTATTGCAGGATTTTGAGCCGATATGTGAGACAGGCCACCAAAGTGATTCCGGCTGGGGTTGCATGTTACGCAGTGCGCAAATGCTTTTAGCACAAGCATTTATGCTGCACCTCTTCGGCCGGAATTGGCGATGGGATCCGAAGCAGGAAGGATTTAGAAGTTACGTGCAAGAGCAGAACTTGCACAGACGCATCATTGGGTGGTTCGGTGATGGAGCAGACTCTAGAGAAGCTCCTTTCGGTATTCACAATTTAATCAGGGCAGCGCGACTAGCAGGCACTAAGAAAGCAGGTGGGCTTATTGTCAAACTAACGTACATATAAAGAACTTCATTGGTTGTTTTGGGTGGGCTACAAAGAGCAGTTCGAAAAGTCAGTCAAACGAAATACCTAGCAAAATTTTATTACCAAATCCAATTTTTTTTTTTTAACTATAGTTCGGTTATCATTTGTTTTTATGCGCAGGTGATTGGTTTGGCCCATCATCTGTCGCTTACATGTTGAAGCGATGCATGGAGGACGCCGCGTTCAACGCAGGTTCCAAGGATATCTTCGAGAAAATGGCAATATATGTTACTGGGGATTGCACAATTTACGTTCAAGATGTTATCAATATCTGTCAACCCAGTCCTAACGTGCGTGTTATTCAACGTAATACGTTTGTATAAGTTTCCTTCCTTGAAAACGAAAATAGCTTAACTAAATGCTTAGACTATTTATAGCAATAAAGTATTGGTAAAAAGAATTAGGAATATATCTAGTAAACATTTTTTGGGCATCTGACACCTATTCCTAATAAATACATAATTTAGATGCGAAATACAAATCTCTACAACGACTTCCCGTATTTCATCCATAAATACTGATTTTATCATTGACACCGCCGTATGCCACGTATCTCACTTACAGGTTCCGTGGAAATCTGTCATTCTATTAATACCCCTCCGACTTGGTGGGGAGAGTATTAATATTAACTATCTTCAATCTATCCAGGATATACTGGCAGATCCAAGACTAAACTGCATCGGGATTATTGGCGGTAAGCCAAAACATTCACTTTACTTCATGGGGTTTCAGGGAAACAAATTAATTTTCCTTGATCCACATTATTTACAAAGTGCGGTCAACACGAGAGCAGTTCCCTTCGATGAATCGGTATGTATAATAGGTTAGTTCGATTATTATAACTAATAATATCATTTATGGAAAAATAAGTATTCGATATAGTTAAATTCTCAATTCTCAGCATCATCAAATGTTACCCTCAGGTTTACTTTACGAGGTGACTCAAATGATTATTTGGTTTTATTTTTCCAGAGCTACCATTGTAGTGGTGCACGGAAGATATCATTTGCAAAATTGGACCCTTCAGCTGCAATTGGTTTCTACTGCGCAACACAGCGAGATTTTGAAGATTTTGTAGGACTAGTTCAGCTCAAGACGGGAGAACAAGCGAGCCCATCGGTTCGACCAGGTCTAGGGGCGAGGGATCAACCTGGCCGATCTACGAGGAATCTTCCTATGTTTACAATACGCGAGGGCGAACCCCTGATTGCCAATCAGTCTAACGTGAGGGAATCAATCAAAGATCGCATTCTTCGAGTGGAACGAAATGTGATCACTAACAAGGGAACACTTCGGAGGGAATCGGATGATTATGTCGTGCTAGATTGAAATGATCGGAAGAAACGGACCCGGAAAAATGAAGGACGAAAGTAAAACCGATGCTGCCTTCTACTTTTAATATGTACAGGCTAAAAATTTGATATATCAGCTTAATGTTTTAATACATATCACGTAGTCACCCGATTTTATAGATCATATATAGGTAACTCAAATTAGAATCGACATTTATTAGATATTTATAATAGAATAAATAACAATCGAGGTAGATTTGATCTGATGAATGTTGTCGAAAAATAAACCTTTCTATCTATAGACATATACATAGTACGGCTCATCTCACAGATAAAACTGAAGTAGATTTTTCGAAATACGAAACGATCGTGACAGCTTTGAGCATTTGTTAGAAAAACATTCCGATTGTAAAAAATGCTCGAAGCCGTTGTGCTCTGTGATCGCAGTTTTGCAGTGTTGGCGCGTACGCATGTAGATCAAATGAAAAATTATGTTTACAACGTATATATAGAAACAAGACCTACGGTAATTAGTAGTAGTTTTATGTCGTACATGAAAGACGCGCGTGTAAATAGTCTATAACACATGCCCATTCGCCTCATGAAAAGAGGATCAGTCTGGTTCTGTCAAATTTTGTCAGTCAAAAGCGAGGGAATCAAAGGAAAATAATGGCTCTACTACTCTTGATGTCTGGGCGGTACATGTTTCCCGATACTTCAATTTTCCGCGGATAGAATAGAAAACATAAATGTCACACAAGAAAGCAGGTGGAGATTTTTTGCACTCCTACGCGACGTGACATCGTTCTGTGGATCTGTGAGGAAGGCTACGCACTAAATCGACCTAACCTGTAACGATCTTCCATAGCAGAGCATAAAAATCACGACGATTCGCTTGCGCGTGATTAGGGCTTGATGTAATTATGGCTTATACGAGGGTGACTATGCTAATGATGGTGACGAGACCGCAGAGAGGAATAATGACAGACCAACTTATTGCATTTCTTTGCATAGATGATATGCTGCAGTAAGCTGTTGAGTTGTTAGAGTGCATGTGTTACTAATTAGAACGAGTCACCAACTTAAAAGTGCAATGTTACTGTAAATAACTATTATGTGTGTACATAAATGAACCGAGTTTAATCTATCTTGTATTTTATTAACTTCGTCATGTTAAATGCCTTATGTATCATTGACAGATCGCCCATGAAGTGAAAGCTCGATGGGAGAAGCTATTGCTATTATTAAAACAGGTTAGTACCCATAAGCGCTATACGGAATTGAGATCAGGAACATGCCTATTGAAAATCTTAGCTTCGGGCAAGAACTGCTAAGGAAGACTAAACAGAGTAATATGGTAAAAAAAAAAAAGCTTCTATCAGCCTCCATTTTTCGAATTTCACGTGCGGTACTGTTATTGGACAATGTTTCACATGAAGCAAAGTATACCTACGCCCGATTTAGTGAGCACCATAACAGGAAATGTTGCGGCCAAGCGTCTACAAAAACGCAAAGACAAAGATTTACGAAATTAAAATAGTTATGTTTAGATTTCTTTGATGCAAACTCTCGTACTTCAAACTTGTCTCATTATTATTAATTCTAATTGAGATACGAAACAAGCTTTTTTCGCCTTGTAATTGCAAGTTTATAACTATATTGCAAGTTGATCTATTTGGAACACGTGTTAATTGTGTTTCTTCATCCAGTTAACTTACTGCGGATAACTGCCTATAAAATTGATGGCTTCGATCCATCCAGGCTGAAATAGCCAGTATTTTACTGTTTAATAGCAACTTACCCGCTACGCGAACCCTTCTTGTTCATTTCGAACATGCCTATGTTCTTTTTATACGTACGTATGTCAACGTACGTTCCCTTATTTATACGTGCGTTTTCTGACAGCCTTCGTCAGTGGTGTGAGTGTGTTTGCCTTACGTCGATTATCAGTTAGAGATCCGCTCACCAGCCTGAGCGCTTCCTATACCATCTATGTCTGAATACAAATGAACGAGCTAATAGCGAAACCGCATTCGTTAGATGGCGATCTTCCATGAAAAGACACACGCGCTCCTGTTTTGTTTCTATGGAAGCTATCGTTGCTCGAATATACCGGTTAAAAGAAGAGCTCAATCGCGCAACGTTAACTTTTTCGTAATTGTTGTGCGTGTTCCCTTGCAGCCGCTTTGTCTACACTACTTCATGTATATTGCTTTCGTGTAGCGGAGCCTGGGTGAGCGCCGTCGTTGTCGTCGCAGCCCGTACTCACGCCCATACGCGGTATGTAGAGGAGACTAGCAAACATCTATTTGAAAATGCGTGAACGATCAGATCGTACTGTCTATCTCGTGTGACATTGGTCTTAACGAGAGATGATAATTCGCTGACGGACATAGGGCTGAGGCTGAAAGCCAGTCTCGTTGCGATTCGCTATTTCTGTTTAATGCCGCTGGCGTTTCTGTGATGCTGTTGCTACTGCTGATGTTACTGCTGTCTGATTGTTTCTAAAACGGCTGCTGCTGGGTGACTGGCTGAAGTTGATTTAGAAACGAAGTGGGACTACCACGAAGCGACGGAAACGAAGACGCAGTAATGACGCCATGCCTGCCATAACTTTTCTACTACTGATGCCTCAGCAAAATCGGCTTACGCCAACGAACAGTTAAACGGCACGAACGTTTGAATGGAAGTATAACAACCGACTAAGATGGATTTGTTTAAACTTTTTTATGCGATCTTTCGTTTCGTAACTTGCTTAGATTACATCTCGTTGAATCATGTGAGTAGCTGTCGAGCATTTCTACAAAGCGATGCTTGAGACTTCTAGAGAGGTTTCCAGAAAAGTAAAGTAAATGTTCACGTCTCGCGTACATCCGGAATGCATGTTATTGTCGTTCACCCAGCCTATGACTGCTGCCATTAGTTACTGCCTCGTCGTGGTAGATGACTCAGCGATCTCTGCTGAACGCTTGAGCAGGGGCGATGGCGGCAGCGGGCGAAATCTCGCGGGGGCCAGTCCCTCATCATACCGCTTTTTCTCGTTCCTCCGACAGCCAAGCGCTGACACCATTAGACGTAGGGTAATGGCAATAGCGGTGAAGTCATAGAGCCATACTCGTATACGCAATCTACGACTGCTGTCGATGCTGGCGCAGCGCTGGAAACGAGCTACTCTTATCAAGAAACCTGCAGCTACGACGAGCTATACTAGTCAACAGCGTCGGACGAGCGGGCACACACAGACGCGATAAACGAGAACTACTACGTTGAGCCATACAAATCAGATCAACAATACCAGACCTGTGCGCGTCCTCTGAATACGATATACACCTTTATGGCAATATGAGAATGCCATCTGGCGTTTGTCTATAGTCTATAACCGTCATAACTCAAGTTCATGTTTAAGTTACCGCATTACGCGTATTTGCAGTGGATGCTATTACCGCTACCGCGGCCGCTTGTAAACGAGTCATAGAGTTTAGTGTTTTTCTTGACACAAATATTCGGTTCGCCCCAGGCCTACACGTTTGGTATCAGCAGCGTCGAACGCTTATTCACGTATTATTTCATTTGCTTCAAAGGATTTATTGAGAGGAGAACATTGAATTAAACCAGTTGTGTCACGATCAACATCGACCAAACCAGACGGCTTAATTGTATCTGGTGCTATAAGTGGTTCACATCTGGAGTTCTCTGCCGAGCAACCAGACTTGGTCGGATGTTTCGAATATTCAAGACGTGTATAGTGGTTCGTTATTTATTTGTGCGAGCTCAGTGACGCTACGATCTAAATCGTCTTCTCTGAAGAATAAATACTTACAAATAAAGCGTTTAAGATAGAGTAGGCGTGCGGTGCAGTTCTTGGAGAGTCGTAGACCGGCAGCTGGCCTCAAAGCAAGTTAGCGTCATGGCTGGTACCCATGCCCAGTCTGTCAGCTCCAACCATTCGCATTGACTGGGCCGCTTCTACGATCGCCGTGGCTTTGCGCCAAACCGTCGAAAGTGATCAAAGTGTGGGAAGTGGAGGACACACTGGTGAGGAAGGAGGGAGAGCAAAAATGCCGTACCAGTTGGCGGCAAAGCTGATTACCATTCGAACGACTGTTAGGCCGGAATTGCCTGATCGCGTCAAGGAAGGTGAGCGAGCGGAAGGCCTTAAACCAATATTGTAAATATAAATTTATATCTTATGACACGTGCTTTACTGGGTCGCACTGTAACGTCTGCCTTTAAAATCTCACATTCATCAATTTTTCACGTTTAGTGTCTACAACACTAATACATTACCTCGTTAAATAAATAGGCATATGTGTGGCTTGGTTGGCGTTCAATATAACTTTTTACCTTAACTTCTAAGATTATTTGCGTTCAATAAAAAGCGCGTCACTGCTGTCCACGTACCCTACTTTTTACGTCGGTGGATCATTTTAATGCTTCGTTGTTTTACTTGGTATTGTTCGCTCGTAGAATATTGTGCTTTTTGATTTTTTTACGAACCGATATCGGTTTTACGTCGTAATCAAATGTACTTCTGCAAAAAAAAAAGTAGGTGCATGGTCTTCTAAAACGTTAAATACTTCAATCGATACGAGAATTCTATATATATATATACATAAGGACGTAACGTGTCGTATCGCAATGTTATCCATGAATTGATTTACGTATCTGATGGTTAGCTAAATTTAGGCAGACAAAAATCTCATATGCTATTGTAAGCGCCTTCAAGATCAAAAGTGAAAGGGGGAAAGAAGCAGATTTAGAAAGATCTTATTACTTTTTTGTCTCCGGAAATTGCGCGACTTCTACATCTGTTGGACATCGTAGTTGTACGCGAGGTTTTACTATGGCATCGACCTTATTGCATACGAGCCGTTGAAATAACGAATAGTGTACAGATATAAGCAATGAATAGTTTAAACACTCTCATACCTATACTTTGTCAGTTATATCGACATGTTGATGCTTCTTATGCTGTCCATTTAGTATAGGTTGTTACAAGCTTCATAAACATTTTCACTAGAACCTGTAAAGCTCTCAGAAACGTGATGTCTTGGAGAACTAATGTTTGCCATTATAGTGTTATTTATTTGCAAGGTATTTGTGAGTTCGATGTACGAAGAAAGAGTTCAACCGCTAGTTAGAATCAATCTTGAAAGTACTAAGTTAAGTTAGAAACAACATGAACTCGCTAAGAAGACAGAAAATGTGCCAATTAATAAAGGAACTCTTCGAGAACTCCAATCCGATATTCATAACATATATCAGCAATTGGAAAAGATCCTAGACCCCACCCACGGTTGGGTGGGATCTAGGATCGGCGATTGCATCTTTAAAGTGCTCCAGCTGCCGATTTATACTTTATACTTGATATAAGGTTGTGAATTCTAGAAGCCCGTTTCAAAAATTCGAAATGCATTCAGTCTTGTCAACACGAAAATTCGGGGCGGTTCGCAATACCTAAGGCTCATTTAAGGTTATTGCTGCCGGCAAATTCTCGTTTGGAATGATTAGCCGTACATTTTTATTCAGCAAGGTTCTATGCGGTTATATGATACAAAGGAACTACTCCCTCTGCCGTTGTAAACCGATATCCCAATCTCAAAAGTCTAGCCTAGCAATTAACATTTGAGTGAAAACTATTGGCGAAATCTTATAGCGAAAACTTCCATTAGTTAAAACCTTATAAATAAAAAAAAGTTATGGAACACAATACATCTATATTACTTTTCTTTTAATTTCAATTTATAACAACTTCATTGTTTAGGTTCAAGTAGCATAACACCACCTTAGTCTAAAGCTTGCTACAAATATAATTACAGCATAGTAGTAGATGTTAAATTCAATGACAGATAAGCAACTCTATGAAGTGAATGGTTTTTAGCAACAAAAGCGTACGATACAATCAGACGGACATTTTTATATAAATAATTTTCTTTATTTAAAGAGTATACCCTTCTTGTGAACTAGACAAGCCCAGGGACAATACGATTTGCCAAAGAGATAATATCTTCAGCGAGCTATAGGCAAACATACATCGTCACTAGATACTTGTTATCGAGACTGGCATTTCAAAGTGTCGCTTAAAGATCTAATCCTTAGAAGGACAGAGATCTTCTTTAAGGTTTATGATGGAATATATGTTGTTATTATATAGCAACAGGATATCTATATTCAATACAAACGTACAGGCTCTATCTACTTACATGTATTTTTGCAGTTGACTCTTAACATTATGATTGAATCTTACACGCAGTACACATTACATCAACTTAATATGCGATTGAATTTCCTGAGTAAAGCGCCATATGTCTTGATGATTAATCGTCAACAGTGCAAACTGAAGCGAATAGCTCGTTCTTAGGACCACTATACCCTCTATCTATTCGTTTTTACTCTGCTGTTAATTGCAGCTCACAACGTTTTTTCCCTGCTTATTTTTTAACGAATTTTTCGTCAGTATCCAACATCACTACATTCTATTGCTGCCTTATGCTAGACATTTGTTAAATAATAATAATAACAGTCGACATAAAACTGAGTTTGTATCTACAGTGGTTCCGCATTTCTACGCAATATATGCCAACGTTTGCCTAAATTGCTAGTCGTTTTCCACTGAAATTTCCATTGTATGCGTATTTGGATTTGCCGCGCTTCATGCAAGTAGCGCCTACCTGCCCTTTCCCGCCATTTCGGTTACTACAACCACTACTGCTGCCAATCCCTCCGAGCGCGGCGAACGCCAGTTTCTTTCTCCTTTTTTTCTACACCCTTTCTCCATCTTCCATTCGGAGCGTTTGACAGCGAGTTGCTTCAGTCGGTGTGCCGATCCCTGTGTGTGAGATTTGTATGATTCCGATTGTGCCCTGAGGTGGTGTCTCTCCGGTTGTTTGCTCAACGCATTGTTCGACTTGGTCATTTAGTGTTCTGGTGCCAGGCATTTTGCATCGAATTCTGAATTGGGTTAGGTAGGTACACTTGGGATTCCATGCACAGGTAGTGCGAATTCTGCAGCCGCAAATTTCGAACCATTGATTAGTGGAGTGAGGATCAATGATTATAGCGGCTTGGACCTGTTCACTGTTTACTGCTTTTGCTATTTCGAACAGAATCATTCAGGACTATCGGAGCTATTCGAAAATAAACATTTCTTTGAGCACGCCAGAATTTTTTAGGAAAACAAACGAAAGTCACTTTGTAGATTTGTATTGTGTAAGTGGTTGTTATGGTTTTCCTTGTACTCAACACGTTTCGTTGCGTACCATGTGTACCTGCCCAATAAATGTCTGCAAAGTAGCGCACCTTCTATGAAAATACGAAGCCTAAGTCTGGCCCAAAAATTAATTTTCATGCATTACTGTTTCTTTTGTCATTGCATTTTGATCGATAGATTACATTCTGTAAGAACGGGAGTCCGCATTTTAAATTTAAAAATATGCGTCTTTCCCTGATTAGACTTTCGTCTGTTTGCTAAGGAAAACGTTATCTTCTTTACTTAACGAAGTGTCTAATACAAACGAATACATACTATGTCGCTATTATATAATGATACGCTAGCAAGCACAAAGAACATCGAAGTATTGGAAAGCAAGCTTTACCTGACGTAATACAATTAGGGCAGTAATCATTTAATTGGGTAAAATAATAATTTTTTTCTTAGTTCCATTTTCTATCTGTTATACTATGAATTAACGTGTATATGTGGCCTTGAATTTGTCAGGTACAAATGCTTTCGAAATTTAATTTAACTGAAAGTTGAAGTAGACAACATGTAAACAAAGCTTATTAATGAAAATAGAGTTCAACACTGAATACTTAAATTACATGCAAGCGAAAAAATCAATAACTGGTACGTACAATTGCAATTTTGTCGCGTGAAGCACGACATACTGTGACGTAAAGGAATTTTTTAGAGCTGAGTTTTCCATGAACAATACGGATGCATATAACTCCAGAGTTTACACTACCTTGCAATTTGGTATACACTCGTCACACATATTGCTTAACTCCTTGTTCATTCCAGTTTAGGGTGTTTTAGCTTCCTGTTGCATAATGATTTGATTAATTACCAAATACCATAAAACAAGTCTAAAATTCGGTGAAGAAATTCGTTACAACAGATCGGTAATGAAGTATATAATATTATTCTCTACTCTTAAGACTGCATTGACTCTTCATGCAAAACCCTGCTTTATAATTCGCTGTAATCTTTTAAGTTACCATAGCTTGGCGGGACGGGGTTGCAACAACCTCAACGAATAGTAGTACATCTTTGTAAATGATCCTCAGGCTTTTTGTTTTATAGAAAAAGGCATGCATTGTCTAGAAAGTTGCAACATACATTGATTTACGTAGGTCCTTATAATTTTATGAAACTGTAACCTTTCATATAATTCTGTCTGTATACCAATTTTTAATCACCCAGGTTTAATCGCCTCAAACGTATCATTTATTTTGATATTTTGATAAAACCTTGGCTTGTTTCAATCTTCGTTAGATGGCTCCAACAAGCCTCCATGACAGACTAATGGGTAACATACTTGTTTGCTAATCTTAGGGACACATGGTGGTCTGGGTCCGAATCCAGGCATAGACACACTTCATTTCGTACAGCAAGCCAGGCGTGTGATGTAATGACTAATGCCGGTCATAAAACTTGGAACATTTAAGTTGTACTTGCAAAAATTACCATGAGGCGTCTGTCTCAACGAAAGTACTCGTGACAGATTGATTCTAAGTGAATAAAAGTAGACAAGTTAGCTACATCAAGAAAATAAATGGTTTCTTCAAAGCGAGCCACTTAAATTTGTATTCCAGCCGTAACGCAATACATGTGTACCCTTGATACATCAGAGCGAGCTAATCTATATTAATTATAGAGAAATTCTACAATATTACGATTATTGTTTGCATCAGTGATGTGCTGGTTGTTTGACTAACGGTGTGACGGATCAATGATATGTTCGACCTGTTTTGCTGAGCACATGGGTTCCTTTCTCCGAGCCACAGTGTATTTCCTAACGGAGTCCAGGTTACATATTTGATGTGGTTAGTTCGAGCGAGGACTTCCGTTGGCCCGATCGATCTCAAGCCCGAAGGTACGGCATTCAACGTCCAGATCGTAACGGAAAGGGTCGTGTGCATAACAGATAGAACGACGCAATTTTTCGAAGCGAAATCGAAGGTTCCACATAAAGTGTTAGAAAACAGCATCCTTGATGGTAGCTTGGATGGCCGCATATTCAATTGAGACTTGTATGTGTAAAGGCAAATAAGGCAGATTTGAGTAGCAATAAATCATGTATGAATTTCTGAAGAACGGTTTTCAAAACACTTCATTCAATTCTAATAAGTTGGTGCTGTTGATTAAGTGCATCTAAAACTGGCTACAAAATTGTATTTCTCTGATGCAATACCCAATTTGTGACCGTCATAAATTAGAAATAAATAAACCGACTTATTGTTAAAATAATTTACTCCTATCTAAATGGCAAACTGTTACACGTCCATCGATTTTTTTAACCAACTTTTCTTAAAAACTGAAACAATTCATATTTGCTACTGATGACTTAATCGCTTATGTAGCTGTATAGTGGACAACACGTTAAAGTCAGCAGGCTGTTAAATCACCCATGCCTATTCTATTTTGAAGGTCGAGAACTATGAATGTACACATATCAACTGAGTATTATGGAAAACAAGGTCCTGGCTTATGCAGTGAATCATAAGCTTTCCAATGTTTAGCTCGGTGATACTGAACCGAATGCGGCTGTCTCCATAACAATTTGACATCGTGTTTATACAAACTTGCTCTGAAGAATTTTCGTGGCGTTTCCAATTAAACTGTTCAATAATAACAAGTTTCTTTAATCTTTCAGTTGATTCAATTACTGCACTTTGTTTTGCCTATTCTGAACGAAGATATGAAAATGTAGTATGTAATATTACGCTTCTGGTTAGCATACCCTGAAGACTGCGGTCTGTCCTTTATTGGTGGCTGGAGCGAAAAGAGAATGTATGGCGGACACTGTTTTTTTCCCCGTAAGGTGCGCAATCCTGTATCCCTTACAGACACGATTTGTGCCCAGAATGAAAGCTTAAATTGATATTGGTGACAACGGGTGCCATTATATATACAACATGGATCGTTGTTGTACATTTAAAATTATTGTGGGCAATAGAAGTGCGCTATTGATAATTCACTTCAACAAAGCGACTAATTTATGACACGTTTTTAACGTGATGCCGTATATAGGCAAATGTGATTAATATTTTTTTACTATTATTCGAATGGAGAATAAAGCATTTATTAGGAGCACCACAGTTTCTTGCTATTTACCCATGTGTAGCGGCTAATAGTAGGACCAATGAAAGCTGTTCACTAGATTCTTTGTTCTAAATTTCACTATTATTTTCTTTTAAGATTTAAGGAAAGAGAAGCGACTGAAAATAGAACAGTTTTCGTAGACGTATTTCTTTGTTACAATTTACGTCTGTTCTTTTGATTTATCTGTTTATGGTCATCTCTGGACAGGGCCACGATTAACCACCGCTTTTTCGTCCTTCGTTTGTTTGTTTTTCGCTCGTTCGTGGTTTGTGCTACGTACAGGTCTTCAACAGACGTTTCAGGAAGCGTCGCCCAACCAGTTCTCGCTGTGCTCCTTTCCAAACGTCATCCAAGCTTTGGAGAGGCGATTTCCGTCTATTTTTCTAGTTCCCCATTTCAGGGAACTTCTCATTGCTCGATTGCAGCACGTCGCTACATGCAACGAAGGTATGAAACACTAAATACCGGTAAAGAAAATACTTGTTAATATCGTTGCCTAGGGGCTACAAATATTGCCGCTTAAAACACTACGGCCACGGAATAAATTGCTGCTCTCCCTTCGCTAATGTCTATAAAGGTTCTTTATCAGCGACGCTTTCGTTATGGCCATAATTTACAAATATTACAGTTATGTGCATCGATGAGCTTTCGTCAGCTTCAGGTCAATAATACTGCGATAAAAAAAAATCGTCGTACTTGTGATTCTAATTATTCTGTTATCTTATAAGGCTTAATAAAGTCATACGAATACTGAGCAATACTGTTTGTGTAGGTTTACCTGGTTGACTTATCATTAAACGTCCCTAATTGTAACGCCTGCAACAAAAGGCAAAAAGCACAGTATTGATTTAGCCTAACTAGGGATGGAAGGCTTGCTGCTTTGTGATTGTGTGTGGTACAATAATTGAGGCAATTATTGATTACTGTAGAAATGAAAAAGAAAGACAGCGCTCATGTTGAGAGGAAATCCTTATCTACATGGTATGTATTTATTTTTATATTTGTGGCGAACCTTAATTTAAGTCACTGACGTGACAAAAAAATCTTAAATAAAAACCCATTAAATAACATCACATATCGCTCAACTTCTGTGAATACTCAAAAATATGACGTAAAAAAAAGAAAATTCTACTTGGAAGTGTTGTTTTCCTTTGTTACTAGAATGAGGATGTATTCCATGGATGATTTTTCAGGTTTGTTGTGTGCTGACGACTTTATTGCGGTGATGACGGAATCTCTTACACACGACACATCCAATTGGGGTGGCATGAAAACACCTATTGGAGGGGGCCTGATTGGCCTCGGCAATTTACCCGATCAAATTACAAGCAAGCTTCTTAAAAGGGGCTTTGATCTCAACGTGATGTTGGTCGGACGGAGCGGTTTGGGGAAAAGTACACTTGTCGATACGCTCTTTAAAGCCAAGGTTGGTAGCTGATGTAGGTTAGAGGTTGACTCACCCAGAAAGAACCCATAGGCTTCCAATTTTAGGAACATTCGCATGCATAAATTGTACATAGATATAGGTGCGCATTGTCCTCGGCTTGACAAGCTTTGAAAACAATTATTTCTGGTATACAATTATATACAATTCAGCCAGATTTAGCCTCCTATTTTGAATTCACCTTAATGATGTACATATTTCGGTTGTGGTTTATGCTAGGTATCGCGTCGTTCATCTCAGAAGAGTACGGAAGGTGAGGGCATTGAAGATCTTCCTCGAACAACGGAAATCCACGCTGTGACCCATGTTCTTGAGGAACAGAACGTGAAAGTGCGTCTTACTGTCACTGACACTCCGGGTTATGGCGATCATCTTAACAACCAAAATTGCTGGGTGAGTATCGGCGCATTCTAGAACTATCAGAGAAGAATCTTAGTTGAAACGGTAAATTGCCAACTAAGCTAACTGTTATCCCCGTTCATTAGTTTCGCATTATTGTTCCCTTAAAAAATTTTTTGGCTGTAAAGACCTATTTAGTCATTATTAAATAAATACAAATATTAGGATTACAATTGAGATAAACGAATAATTTAAATTCGATAGAAGAACTTTGATTGACATGAAGATTAAATATATACAGTATGTGTAACCGAAATATTTGTTTATAACGTTACTGCTACCGAAAACTGGTATCGCTGTTTCACTTTGGCGCGTTTCTAAGCAGCCGAATTTGGCTTTCGTTCTGCTTTTGCAAGAGCGCCTAGTTTCGAATTGTTATACACGTTTTATGCCGAAAAGCAGCTTCTACAATTTATGCGCATTATTTTCCACAGGTGCCAATAATGCAACATATATCGGAACAGTATGAAAGATACCTGATAGAAGAGCGTCAGGTTGTCCGAAAACGAATTATTCCTGACTCACGCATTCATGTGATCCTCTATTTCATCGAGCCTTCCGGTCATCGCCTTTCACAATTAGACATCGAATGTCTCCGAAGACTTACACGCGTCGCGAACGTCATTCCGGTGATAGCCAAAAGCGATACACTTACTTTGGAAGAACGTGTGCAGTTCAAGCACAGCATTACCGAGGATCTAATCAGGAATCAAATTCAGGTAGACTATCAACAATTGAGCAACATATCTTTTAATATCCTGCTAAAAGCCTTACATCAATTCTAGAAGAAAGAAAAATTAGACGCGTTACGGTATACGGCATTTCCGGTAATAAATTTCTTCGTTGATTTCTAAATAATTCACAGGTCTATCTGGGTGATGAGGACGAGGGCGGTGTCATGTGCAAAGACATTGTACCGTTCTGTGTCGTTGGATCAACTACACAACACGAAGTAGGTGGAAAATTTGTGTTTGGAAGGGCGACTCGTTGGGGTGTCATCGAATGTGAGAATAAGGCACATTGCGAATTTACCCAACTAAGAGATCTACTAATTAAGTGAGTCTAACTTTCAATAATGAACTCCTACGGCGCAGATAGTATGATGTGAGTGAAGTTTATAAGATGGTACACGGAAAGATTTTAAGTCTATTATACGAAACGAATTAGACAAGTATGACTGAATTCATAGAGTATTCATTGAGTAAAAAGTGAGGTTTGCAACTGAAGTCAGTTGACTTAACACAGTATTTCGATTTCGTTGCTGATTCGCAAAATTTCAATTTACATTAGCTTTTTAGTGGTTTTCTAACATTTAGGACAAGGAAAATGTTGGAGCTGTTTTGCTAATTGTTAGCTTATAATAATCGTGATGTCGTCTGAACAGAAGGAAGTAAAGCCATTTGTGTATCATTTGTTGCATTCTTTCTAACCTAACTCTCTAACTAAATTGATGTTTACTAACATTTGGCCAATGCCCATAACTAATTAAAAAAGCAGATGGCTTCTTCTGTGGTATCGTATGCACCATGACGACACACAATACTGTATGGCCAATTTGATGTATAGCCACCCATTTCGGGTATTCGAGTTTTTTTTTTGTAATGATTAAATTTTACGAATTTAAATAGCCTGCCCAACAAAAAAAAAATTAGTTTTGAAGACTCTACTTTTTAGGTTTGAAGAAGCTTTGTTATACATTTATATGATTGATTCATGCCGGATAAAGCTCTTTTTACTTAATTATTTCACAATGGATACTAGTAGTTTGTAATTGATTAGTAAGCGTAGTGGCATAAATTGTCTGCATTGCTTAAAACGATTGCATGGCATTGCTTTCTTAAGTAGCGACTCTTGGGTGTTCTGTTTGGCAAAAGAAGCTGTAGTGTATAGTTAAGCATGGCTCAAGGTGATACTTGATCACCATTTGTCTGCGTAGCGGCAAGCAGGCTGAAATAAAATAAGGCGATTTCGTTACGAAACGTGCATAACGGTTTCGTGCAAAGGCTATGCGTTGACGCATGTAATAGGCAGTTAGCAGACGCACTTCGATTTAGGACAAAATGCACTTGATCAGTATCGTTGATGCAAGAGTTAAGTCAAGTGCCTTCGACTTTCTCTTTTATTGTCCTAAGCGTTCTTCGACATTATGTATTACTGATATTGTAAAGACAGTAATAATTTGATCATCTAACCGACAAGCTGAGTAGTAATCCTCTTGTTTACTGGAACAAACTGTAACGAGCATTTTTCACTCACCTTTTACAGTTTGCAAAACGCAATGTTCAGCCTTACAGTATAGATACATACTCTTTTATGAATTAGGCGGTATCAAATATTAACTACAACAGCATCTAAATTGATATTTTTACTTGAATATTTTAGCATTATTCCCTTGTTATTATCCGTATGTTCCTGGTTACCGTTAAAAGCAGCAGCGGCAGCATCGACATTACTGGTACTTCTAGTTTGAACATTTTTAACTTCACGGAGCCTTCTTGTCCTTCTCGTGGATATAGTGTGGTTATCTGGTGCTCGATAGGCCGCGCAGAATAATTGGTACCACTCTTCGTAAAAAGACCGCATGGTTTTACCTACCTTTTAATCTAAAGCCAAAAAAAGAAAAGGTAGACAAATCGTTCGACTATCTGACTCAGTTCTAGCAAAGTACATACTAGCGAGGAAGTTAATGGCCAGTAATCGGTGACTGGCATGATACACTCCGTCGATTTGTGACGATAGACTACTGTGTTATAAGTAGTAACTAATTGTAGTGGAACAGCTTTCCCTTGGGATAGTTCCAGTAACTTAAAACAGTGTAAATTAGAGCAGCATAAATTGGGACTTTGAGGGCAGGCAACGCAGGCGAAGCATCAACAACCGCTCCCTTGCGATTTATGAATTGACATGGAGGCCATTTTCAATTTCTTACTTGATTCCAGTTATTTGCTCTTAATTGTATACAATAAGAGCGGTTTTAGTTATACAAAAACGTACAATTTATAGACCTATCTATAATTTATTTCAGTTGTTTTCTCATGCGTGTTGATACATGAGAACAAATTAAATTTCAGATATACGTTGCTTGCGCACGAGCGAGCTTGCTGGGCTGTGAATTTCATAGTGTTAGTGTAGTTGTTGTTATTATTAAGTTTTTTCATGAAAAAAGGACTTGGTCTCATTTTTGATGTTCGAACACTGTGCTCTCTGTACTTAGAAAAAATGGTTAAATTCTTAACAGTTATCTATATTATTATGCTAATTGCTTAGATAATCTAAATAATAATTATGCTAACAAATGATCTCTGCCGTTTCGATTTTTAGGAGTAACATGGGCGATCTGGTGGAAAAGACACACTTTATCCACTACGAAAACTTCCGCCATCAGAGGCTGAAGAGCGGCGAGCCTGTTCTTAAAATGCACCACAATGGAAATTCCCTCGATCATTGCAATGAGTCCACATTATGAAAAGGATAGATAATAACTGACGAGAGAGGGCCCTACAACAATTAGACCCAAAAAACAGAGACACAAAAAAGTCATGTGGATCTATTGGTGATTGTCAATTCAAGACATTAGTGTACGAAACGAAAACTAACCGTTGAAAAGACATTCTCATTCCTAAGGACCGCCCAAGCTACGTAGATTCTTCCCAAACCAGGCTAAATCGTAGCCTCTATGCATTGAAGTTACGCGTTCTCAGCGTGCTGACGTACAGAGAATCTGTAGCGGTTACAGAGCTAAACAAAAGTCAAACTAAACTTTAAAAGCGAACTCATCATAATTATTGGCTGATATTAAACAGCGATCTGTAGGAAGACCTACGCGGCAAGTATCACTAAAAGGATGCAGATTCAGCAATTGCAAAAAAGTATAGTAGAATATGATATAACAAGGTCATCTAAACGAGCGTGTAAGTGTAAAATCCTTACATCTTTCAGCTAGTGGACGCAGTCCACTCAAGAAACTGTTTTTCGCGTGAGATGAATACTAGCCATCATCCTTTGTCTGGCTTTAAGCAGTTAGCTATACACGAAGATATGTATTCTGTTCATCCACAGTTTTTACGACTATCATTTTCAAATATTATCCGTCGTGGCTTAGAAGTGAAATTTGCAAATACCTTCAAAAAATAATTACCTCGAGAAACCAATTACGATATAGGAATTTTGTAGATAAAAGCCTATATAACAGCTTCTCCGAGTGAGCAGCAGATATAGCCGTATTAACGCGCACATAGTGAACCGTTTGAGGCGATATCTCTGTTACTGGTGACAGCCGCAGAACGAAAACGATTCCCCGACTGAGGGACGAACACTGCCGATAGTGGGACCCCGATTTTATATAAACCTAAATGAGGCTGAGTTAACATTATAATATTTTTCAATGCAATTTGGTAATCTAGATTAAAGTTTCCGTGGTTTTTCTAAACGGATAGAAATTAATAGACCATAGCTTTGATATACGAAAACTACGTGAATAGTTCTACGTATACGCTCAAATGCTCTGCTAAAAGAGTTCAGTGAATGCTTTGAGAATGTGCCCTATAAGAATGTAACGAGGTAACTGAGAAAACGTTTTGTCGTGGATGTATTATTATCATTATTTCAATGGCGATAGTTATAGTTATTATTTTCATTTGTTTTTGCTGTAACCTTATTTATGCAAGGACTGTTTGAAGGTGTAATTGGCGTTGATGATAGTACAACATGATATGGCAAATGGTTAGGCTATTTAATGGAATCTGATGTTGTTGATGTCAAAAAACTATATTAATTTATGACATTTTTCATTGTTTCGACGCCACAACCCGAATCTGTTTGCCAAAATTAATAACGTCGCACTTAAATTGATTCAAGATTGCCACGCAGTGTTTTGTCACCGTCTTGAATTCCATAAGCGTGCCAGTGTGAACATCCCTCGCTTTTAGTGGATGCGTTATAAATATGTGCCATTATTTTTAACAATACAACGTTCTGTTGTTTGTTTTTTACGCTATATGAATTGATCTGTGTTTGTGAAGTCTCATTAGATGAGACAGAAAAACAGCAAGCTTTGGATTTTTGTTTAGTGCGTTGTTGACATTAAGAAGTTTAGCATTTTTATGTTTCGCACTGTGACGTCTCTATTTAGCTGCGCATATAAACAAAAGGCAATACATGATGAACACAGAGCTCGTTGTACAAGTAAATATCAGAGAAAACACAAGAGGCCATGCTCATCACGTTCGAAAGAACTGTGCAAACGATCTTTACGCCAGGCATGTTTATTCGATTCAGAAGAATAAATTTACTAAACAGTTTAAGGATATTGAGAGGAAATTTCAGCTATATATGCCACATACCTTTGATAACTAATATATCGTGAGAAAAAATAAAACGCAGCTGTAATGAACATAATGTAATTACAAAAAAAGAAGAAGGAATGATGTGAAAAAATAAATTTATACATACATTTAAGCTAGAATGAGCATCGAAGTTTCTACGATCTCAGCAAAAACGTATGGAAACAATAAATCTAATGCCAGTAAGCAAAATAGCGTGCATATATTTATATATACATATGTTTCTTTTTTTTACAAGTTGTATTTACAATAAAATTGGTTTCTGTTTGAATTTTTGCATTTTTCTGCAGAGAAATCTATCAATGGTTTCTTTGTTTGACGAAACGTTGTTCACTTCAGAATTTTGTTACTTCCTGCCTAAGCTACTCGCAAAAAAATTTAAAACCTTTCCACTTTAAATTAGCGAGTATCTCTTTAGTAGTAGTCGTGAATGTCGCGATATTCTAAAGTTTTAGCAAAAGGCGCTATATAGAGCATATTATAATCTAGGCTATAAAGCTGTCCAACCTTGCATTTAGTAAAAGCTAAAATTATTCGAATTTCTATTTTAGACTTGAATTATTTTTTTTATATGAGCAAAATAGTAATGTAATGGGGAAGTTCTGTTATTTTTCAGGAAGTATCAGGAGCCAATTTTTTTGTGGAATTGAGGTCCTCTAAAAATTATGCTAGACGCGCATCGTCAATAAATAGCTTTTTGAATCAAGATAACAGTCCCATTTGGTATGCGTTTAAAACTTTTTTTTTATATAATTTTTCTTTGTGGATTTTGGCGTATGAGAATTTTTCTCTGTTTCTTCAGAAGCCGCAGAAAACTGACAGCACAGTGTACGGACGCCTTCGGGAAATCAAAGGAATTTATACTTTCGGTAGAGGTCAGACTAACGCGAAAGCATTAAACAATACGTGGTCTTCACTGACGACGAATTCCGCTTCACTAGTAATCTTTGCAATTAGAAAACTAACTAAATCACTCTAAATTTTGCCTCATAATTTTTAACCATAAAATTTCCTTAGATGGGGTAGTATTTTTGAAAAGTCTAGAGCTAAGTCTAGAGAGAATAGAGTTAGGCATCAGTTAGCTATCGTTGACGAATTATGTTGTGTATATAGTTATATGTATACCATATGAGGATCTTGATACACAGCAAACATAATTTCCTCAGCCTACGTGACAAAATCTGGATTGATTAAACGTACGCCATTGGCGTAGCTATTCCTGTTACTTGACAACGGGTAAAGGGGCCGGGTGGGAAAGGACGAGATTTGAATCTAGTACAAGACAGAGTAAGACTGGGTCAACTTTACACACGTATGGGCAGTTTCTCACGTTCTCACAACCGGGCTCTTACCGAGCTCGATTTCGACCCGTCAAAGCCCCTCTTTAATTAGTTCCTAATGGTTCCTGCTCACATAATTTTCTGAAGTCGCACGATTAGGGAATTATTTAAGGTTAATTCTCCACAGTAAGTCAGCGACAAACCGTTCTGTCAGTGAATTCTCCGAACAGTGAATTTTGTGTTCATTCAGTATTTTATAGCGGCAATCGACTAGAAAAAGTAATAAATCAAAAACAAACATCAAAGGTTTGCATTTTACCATCTCGCAGATATCACTGCCGGAGAGGGTTGCCTGTCTGAAATGCCTAGATATTTTACTATATATATCATTTAGCTAACTCATCTAGTTTCTCAATGTACGATTGTCCAAAATCTTCAGTAAGTTTGATCAGATCATAGCATATTTTATTATAATTTTAATGTTTGCGCAATGGTATTTTAATTTACTAAAGTGATATATGCCTGAGAATTTGTGACCATATTGTATGCTCATTGTCACTCCAATCGCCTTACGTTATCTTTTGAACATTAAATAAACACGAAATATTTGCTCAGCAAAATCTGTTTGTTAAGAGAGATTTATCTAGACTGATACGAAATTATTAGATGTCAAATTAGACGAACGGCGTCTAGCACCGAAATGTTAAAACTCTGGTGACGTCAAGCGTCTGATAATGCCTCATTTCCTTGTATGAAAAACTGGTCTCAGTTGTTAATTGGGAATGTTCTATACTGTCGATTCTGCCTCTGGACTGATTGATAAATGTTTGCAACGACATGAATAACAGCACCGTGTTCCCGCAAACGGGTGACTCCGGTGATCGTGTCCCAACTGCTGCTGCTGCTTCTTTTTCCACTACTACCGAAAAGATACCCAACTGAGTGTAGTTTTCGTTTGGGACACAAAGGCATCAGTGGTCTCGAACACACATAAAATTGATGTCATAGGCATTTTTGTATCTTGGTAAACACATTCAGCAGTGACATGAACTTATCTATGCACTGTGTAGTAGCGAATGCAGCTATCAAATGATCTGCCTCCATGCGAGATTACGTGAAACTTTACGACCGGGATTGGATTGACGTATGCGGGCTTTAATGAGCGGGTAAATGCTACAAAATCTGCACAAATTCCATAATCTAGAATTTATTGAGACATAAAAGCACTGGGAACCACTTAGAGATTTTGGCACGACCTTTGATCGCGCGCATCCAAGCCTACAATCCTAAAAACTACAGCGTCGAGGTAATTATATCCGGTATGTTTAGTATGTAGCAATTGTGCGTAACGAATGAAGGCTGACAAACGGAATCGTACTTCGCTGCCTGCTAGCACCATCACCTAACCGAAAAAATATCTCCGATAATATCCAATGCAAGCAATGTAGAAAAACGTTGGTCTGCTTTTCAGATCGTATGATCATCGTGTCTCCATTTAGGCCGAGGGGTCTTTGGAAGTTGAGTGCAGGCTGAATGTTTCTTCATTCACATTGATACTCAATTTTAGCATAACTTAAGTAAGTTGATTGTTTCAAGAACGTGTCGTTCGCTAGCAAAACAAGAGAAATAATAAAGAGACCAAAAAATATGACCATCTAACGCCAGTTAGTTAGTTCTTCTGATTGAACGTACAGGCCAGTTATGTGTAGTAATTTTCTTGAAAGAACGAAATGTTTAAGACGAAAGACATATCTTTGAGTCGAGATAAAATGATTCCGAGAAGATTCGTCCACAAGAATTAACCAGTATGTCTATTCACATATAGAATGTACATGTTCCAGCAATATACGGTTGACTAGATTCGGTAAGAAAAAAAGTGACGTTCCTTATAAACAGCTTTACAGACTAAAAGGACGTAAATACAGCACTCGCTAGATTCTACTATATTGTGGTATGATGAAGACCTTAGCGAATTTGCGGCTTATTTAAAGCAGCAACGCAGGATCAATTCTGGATTGTTTTACTGGTGGCCTACCTTGTATGATCAGGAATTTTCTGTTTTTACAGAGTATATGACACTTTGATACGATAAATTGAAAATTGATGAAAGAATCTTTTGAGATTCCCTACATCGTACTGTCGAAAATCTATCAGTTACAAAATGGGTTAAGAAATCGCAGTATTATATAAACAAAAAATCAGTGTGATAGTTTAAACAGTAGCTATTTCAAACTTTTAACAAGTACGCAGTCTTATTATTTATTGAACTCGATTGTAACGTTATTAGTGTAGCATCTAGCTAAGCAATATGCACTAATACAGAGAAGCTAGGAAATATCAAAAAAAAAATCATGTATTGATATATGTAGGTACTATCACAGGTATCTTATGACAGTGATTATGTACTAGTGCCGCTTGGACATTGCATTAGCTTAGAGTTAAATGTTCCCACTTAGGAACGTTGTCACGCCTGAGAATAAATGGGCACGACTACACATCTGGTTCGGCTTGTTGCCATGTCTAAAGGCATTATATAGGAATTTGATAAGTATCACATAAGAGAATCACACCATAGTGTACTGTCGCAAAATCTAAACGAATTACACGACCGTTTTACGGAACCGGTTAATGTACAGAAAAGCAGATTTTTTTTTTACCGACGACGGAAGGAATCGAACGCACAGGCCTAGACTGTCCCTTTATTCACCGTTATGCGTTGTTGCGGGATGATGCGTTGTTGGGCCGTGCGGTAATTATTCCTATTAAGTACATTTCGGTCGAGGCACAAGGCTCCATAGGAGTAGGTCGCGCAGAACAAGTTGTTTGATTTCGCGGCAGTTGTTGGAGTCCTCTGCTCATACTTATATTCTTATATTTTTCTTCTTATTCTTATATTTTCCTGATTTCATGCAGTTTTGCATTGTTTACAAATTACAACTGTGAGATAAAGACATTTCAATTTACATTTCATAATCAGCAAACTTTAACGTGTCCTGTTTTTAACTTCTACATTTAGAAAAATATTATTTAGGAAAATATAAGCGTCAGAGCTTGGTAAGCCAATGGGCACATTGTTAGCTACTCTTTTCTTAGCAATGCTTCAAATTAAAGGAACGTGCATTAATAGCACTATGGTAGCACCTGCAAAAGAACTTGCCTAATAAATGCGTTTCTTTTTTTGTGTCTTCTGAACTTACTTTTATTTATTGAAAAATGTATGTCATGGTTCCTTATTCTAGGACGAGAGAATTGATCATGATCCGTTTTAAATAATTACAATAGGCGATAAGTTAATTTGTTGGCACAACACCTCGCGTTAGCATAACAAGCGATTATTTAAATGATCGTAATCCATACACACACCGATTTAAAGAAATCTCAACGTCAGAGTTTGGACAATAACCCATCATTATACGAACGAGGCTGTGCTTATCTGGCAGCGTATCTAAGTACTGCCATCAGCGTTGCGTGAGCTGTTGCTATGATACAAACCAAGCTTTATATTTGTGATCCTTGTCGGCGGTTCCTATCGCCGTTGTCATTTTGTAACAGCTGTTTTTTTTCTGTGAGACACGAACGCTGTTGCCATTTTATACCATTATTGGCCCTCGTTGCTCGAAAAAGGTCTATAAAAACTAACTAAATACCTCATCAAGTGGAGACAAAGTTGATTTTTTTAATTAACGGTTTTTGTTCAGTCTTCATTCAGGGGACCGTCTATCTGACGTCACTGAAGGGTCGACTCGAAACAAGAACTCATTAGCCTAGTATGACACATGCTTTTACAGCTAAATAGGGCTCTGTCGTCTGCTAGTTACTTACGATCAAGTATTGATCAATTAAGTTGAGTAAATTAGTTGGAGAAAACTGCACAAAGGTTCGTTGGCAGTGTACTAGAATTAAGCGCAAGTGTTATAATTGCGCATATACCGTTGAAAATACTTACGAACA